TCAAATTGGATTGCGTGCTTCAGACGTGTCTCTTGAAATTTGACGAATGATCACTTCGCACGATAATGCGTGGCGTTGCACTTAATGGATTTGTGTAACGAGTCAATCGATCACTTTGAAATACCGAAGGGTTGTCGAAATGAATTTATAATATTCGTATCGTGTTGATATAATCTGATTTCCTTGTCGAATTCAATTACAACACAGTAGATCAATGTATTTGCAATAAATACGGGCGCGTAAATACCGTCGCGTATAGTCATTAATTATTCGTCTTGTTGACAGAAATACAGTTGCATTGATTTCGTCCGAGTATTTACCTTCTCTAAACAGAATATTGAACGATTCTAAAATTTTTAACAATTTTTCTTTTGATGTAATTGAAAAATGTTATTACACTTAAAATACATAATTTCTTCACTAAAACTTTCCAATCGTCACAAAGCATTTCAAATAAAATTTTTATTGATTCTAAAATTTTATGTGTCTGTGAATTTTAATTTTCGATTGACATGGAATTTCGGAAGGACAAAAGAGTAAAACTTTCGGAACTTAAGGTCTAATTACTCAATTATCGTCTTAATGGATGGCTTGTACCTTCAGTCAGAATCTGTCAAGAGAATAATTAATTCTGTATTAACTCAATTTCGTTACTTTCTGCCGTAAATTATGGAGAAAATTTCCAATCTTCACGATAATTTTTAAGAGTGACGCGAACAATCTGCCTCAATAACATATCGTCTTAATTACGATTCAGTCGAGAATCACCTTGTAATTTTGATTTTTCAAATTATTTCAATAATAAAATGTGAATCTTCAAACGTTCAAAAGATTTATTTCTTCAAATGTTCACATATTTTTCAACCGTCGACAATTTACGATCGTAAAAAGCTGACACTAAGTGAAAATTACAAATTTGTTTCCGCGTAGATTGTATTCATAGCAGCGGAGCGGTTTTCGTGTATAAATTTACTGGCGAACAGCCTGCGACGTAATTACGAAACTTCCTTAATTTCCGCGGATCCTTTGTGCTTTGATTTACGTCCCGTAATGGCGGCGATTATTTCCTGCGGATTCGTACGACTTATCATCACGATCCACGCCGTGGAAAATTCAGCGATATCATGGCTAAAGCTATGATCGGCCGTTATATCGCTCTGCGATACATAAAAGAAGCGTATCCTTCAAAGTTGCCCGAAGAGGCAATATTGATCAACGCTATACTGAACTCTGACATTTGGGATTATAGCCGGGACAGGAGCCCGGAGCTCCGGCTCGCGAGCGAGCAAAATCATCGCGGGAAACATCGCCGTGCTAACTTACACCGCAAGATCATAATCTGACAATCCCTTTGAAATATTATTCGCCTTTACTCATCAAAGAGTAGAAATTTCGTCATGCGTCAATAGTAATAAAAAGTTTTTTTTATAAATTATACATATATTTCATTTAAATATAAATAGAAAAATTTTGTTTGATGACTCGTTAATAGACAATTGTAATTAATTAACAATCCAAGATCGATACAAGCACAGAACATTGTTGTACGTGCGATAAATTTAATATTCTTCTACAGAAACCTTTAAAATAATTTTTAAAATGCACTCACCGCGACAATATATTCTTAATATTAATTTCAACCGCTGAATTGATTTCCTTTTCAATTAGATTCAACTGAATGAGAATATTGGATTCAATTTCTCTTTTTTCATTGATATCATTCATCGTTTTAAAGTTGTTTTTACAAAAATACGTTAGGTTTATCACATGTACATTTGCATTTTGAGTATCGATTTTAAATTATTAATTAATAGTTATCTAAATATATATTTTATATTTAAACAAAATTCTCTCTTTCTCTTTTCCTCTCTCTTAAAAATTTTATATACTTCTGTTTATAAAAAAATGTAAGCAAACATGAAAATTTAGATACTAAAAGCAACGCATCAGCTGCGGTGCTCGACGACTGTCATACTACTGTCATTACTGTCACGGTACTAATTAACAGATTCTTCACAGAACCGCCGTTTCATCGTAGAGTTTCCGAAGCCGCTCTAGAGTCGGTTGCTCTAATATTACGTCGGGTCAAGGCTTCTCCCCGACCGACGTGGTCATCATCGGTGTGTTGGTGGTACCGCACATCGAAGCAGCTTGTTTCGCCCGCGATGCGAAGCGATCGAACCAGCAGTTATTTCCACGCTGAATATTGTATCAATTTTAACACTACGCGCGCGGAACGAGTTAATACGCGAATGTCGATATACAGGTGTGACATCCAACTCGATTAAGCGTCACGCTAACCTTCGCCGGTGTCGGACCGTATTAGTTCGGACATCGCGCTCGTATGCGTCTCACAAGTGTGAAGTGTCAAAAGCGCGGTATCGCGAAGCCAAACACAGCCGGACTCAGCGCGGCGTAAAGCTGACGCCAAACATCATGAAATGCATTCGTATAATCGAAATAACAGAATAATCAAAAAGTTAACCAACTAATATATTACGAGAGTTGCAAGTTGAACTGAATGTCATCTCGTTTTTGAGAATCGGATTTGATAGCATTAAATGACATGTTATTATGTCATGTTTTTATTAAACTTACACGGAAAGAACAATTTTATCGAAATATTTAAAAATCTCGTCAGATATAAAAATAATTTGAGGCTGTTAAAATAATTATGTAGGATAATGCTGTAGAAAATTTTGATGTTTCAATTTGAACGTCCTATATAATTATTTTAATAGTATTACGTCAAGATTTTCAGATCCCCAGATCTGAATCAAATTTTGATACTTCAGCAAGACTGTTCTTTCTCTTCCAGAAAATTAGAATTCTTAACTTGTTAATAAATTAGAGAGTTTGAAAAAAAGTAATACGAAAATGTGAAATAATTAAAAAGTTTCGTTGCGTTTATCAAGTTACAGCTTCCTAAAGCGCAGCGTGACATCTTTCCGAGCATTAATAAAAACGATTCGCTTTCCAGTCTCGAGCAAAGTTTGTTTTCCATCATGCGACTAAACTCGCGTAATCTCTGCCGTCGTGCACCAGGCATCAAATGAATTTTATCGATTTCGAGGCCGGAATAGGTCGCAAAGCTACGTCGGCCGGTCGTTCAAATACTCTTCAACGAGAGTAAGATTCGTTGACGTGATGACGATGAGTTTCGAAATTCGACATCGCATTGCTTGGTGAGACCCGTAAAGGAGCACTCTCGGTAAAGCCTCAAGTATGGGGCAAGCAACGACCCAGGAAATCGGCATAGCATCCGTTCGTGTTTCAAAGTGACTTGAGGTTTCCCCGAGGATCGTGTAATATGCTCGCGCGTTTAGTTAGATTTGTTTATATAGATAAAAAATTGGCGTCGATACAATTCATTGAAATTGTATCAACAAGCGAATTTGATAATCGTATTACTATATTCTAATCGCGATCTCTAAAAATTCAAAGACATACAGTTAATTTAAAACTAAAGATAATTTGACAATTTAAATTTGAATATTATATATATATATATATATAAATAATTTTTATAGATGGTTAAATTGATATCGTTCTCAATAAGAACATTTTGATGCTGCTGTAAAAATAAAACGGCACATCTCGAGCGATTTATTCATGCTGTAATAACCATAGTGCGCAACACGACTTTTGCGACTTTCTTGAGCGTCCGGGAACGATACGACCGAGAAATTCGCAGAGCATTCGCTTGTGAACGTCGTCGGGAATTTTGCAGCCGATTGTGCGGCCTCTCGCGCACAGGAATGCCTCCCTCGCACGCGTGCCACGCGTATATTCTCTGTTCTACAAGTGTTTATACACGTCGCACAACGGTCGTCGCGCAACGCATACCGTCGCATCGCGCACACACTAACGAGATGTTTCATAACGGCGGATTTAGCGGGAGCACGGGCGCGGAACGGTTCCCTAATCACCACGGCGACGGCAATTAATCCCGGGATGCGCGAGCGGCGTAATCGGGCCTGCTGCTTCGATTTACGGCATCTCGAAATTAATTTCTCGCCCGCGATCGGCCGTCGTAAATGGCCCTCTTTCCCCGCGTGATTTCATTCTCATTCCTCGCAACTTGATAAATCGCGCTCCGTGTAATTGCGTGTAACGTCTTGCGTCATTTGCGGAAAAGGTCAAAAGCGTGTTATTTGATACAGCAGCGAGAAAAAATTACTATTGCACTAAAGAGAATATTAATACTTACAATATTTATGATTCTTATTTCATCGAAACCATTTAGGAATCAAGGTGTAGAATCATTTCAATGATTCACAAAACAAAAGAAAATTGACTTTGCACATGCTCTAGTAAAAAACAATTTTGCTAGAGCATATAAAAATTTGATTAGACCTAAAAATAATTTTGTTGAAATATCAACATAATTTATAGTTCAAGTTGGTTGTTAGAATATCAAAAATTTTTATGATATTATTAGCATTATGCTTAAATGTTGTAATTATTTGGTCCAATAAAATTATTTTCAAATTTGTATCCGGTCAAATTTTTCTTCTTTCCATGCAGAAACAAATCCAATATCATCATGGAAATTCACTCAATATCTTTAAAAATCTTTTTTTTGTATCATGAAATTTCATTAATAATATTTGCAATGTAATAATATCGTAATTAAATAATTATAGTATGTTTATAAAGATTCGCGCAAAATATTACATTACATTTACATGAAAATAAGGGAAGCTGTGATATGTTCACGCTTATATGGTTTTTTTTTAGCTCGATTAATATATGATTCAATAAACGTGTCGTGTGACTACAATTCCAAGGGGTCTTGGTTGCAATATTACAGTTATTAGTTTTTCGGGTTGACCGTTTTCACAATGAAAACGGTCAACCCGTGCAGGAATTTTAACGAATGTTACATAAAACGCAATATCATTTTCCACATTAATTATATCGATATATCTTTCTTCTCTTTCGTGAATTCTGTTTCTCGCGATGACACGTTCCTGAGAACTCAGTTTAAAAAGTAAAATTTTTTGTGAAAGTCCGTTTCGCGAGTTTGAATCCATTTAAACTGCTTGATTTTATCTTATTTTTCTGACACATGATTAAATTTTTGCTTGTCAAACTTTATTTGCTTGTCAAACTTTATGCGACAGTTACAACGAACATCCTCATAATCAAGAGTTTATTGTATTACGCGTTTCAACAAGAAACAAGATATGTATACAAGTAAGATATGTATACACGTAACAAGATATGTAGGAACGAATAACAGAGCAACAATTTGATCTATGGCCTGAAGCAAAATGGAAATAAACACATGATATATACGATAAAAAAATGGTTAAACTGTTGTAGGGATTTATTCATTCTCGATGTTATTCCATTCTATCGGCTCAATTAAACGGTAAAGAAGCTGCGTTATAGATTTGCAAATGAAAGTGCGAACTGAAATTTTCTAAAATTGATTTTATTTCCACACGGAAGGGAAGCTTGACTTTTTTCGCACAAAAGAGAGGATTTTACGAGAAAAGAAAACATGGCAAAGAGATGAGATCTGGATTTGTCCTCCTTGTCTTAAGAAATACTGGCTTTATTCCGAGCACGTTTGATCAAATGATATTCTCTGACAAATTCGTAGATAAATATCTCAGTAACGATTCTTGCGACCACATCAAACGATGCACGGCTCCATCGTCGCTTGGCGGGCGCATTTAATTATCGAATTAATTAAACGAGATGGCCATGCGACGATCATCGTATCGTCATCCTGCGCGAGACATCTCAATTATTTCCAGCAATTTACCGCTGAATTAATAATTTTTGCTTATGTAAATAAAGATTTTTCTTAAACTTATCTTAAATGCTTTGACCATTATGAGACAAACGTTCGTGAATATCGTAACGCAGTGTTGAACAAAAGTCAGTCATTGAATAGATTGATTAATAAATCAATGAAATAGATATTTAATAGGTAATAGTACATATTCGCTGTCGTAATGTAATACACCGCGCAACGCATGTTAGCGTGCAATTTAATTAATCTGCAGTTCTGCAATGGATCATTATGTACTATCGTTACATAAGATTTTGTATGTATGGTTGGTTCTCCTCGTGTACAAACCAATATACGAGGTCGAATATTATTGCTTCCTGTAGACTTAATAATACCATTTAACCAGGGATGTTACAGTTATCGAGTTTTAACGGCAAATCAATAATTCGGTTACATTCCGAATATAATAGCAAATGGAACATCATAAAGATAGAGGTGCCACGACATAAGTAACGCGACTCCTTTAACAACTCCTTTTTTCGCCGATAAATCAATCGGTGCCGTCGTATTTAATGATAATATAGCCAGTATAAATGGCATCTTTACTTTTATTAAACCCTGGAGATATGTATAGTCCACATCGGGGGAAGCCGAGTGTAATAAATTCTTTCGAACGTCTTGTTCCGATCTGATAGAATTTCTCATTTTTGACCCAGTTTAGCGGGAAAATTATTCTTATCACGGACGGCTGCGGCGAAAACGTAATCCGTTGAATTTATTTCAGAATCGCATTCGGCGAAAACGGATGGTGAAAACACATACGTAGGGCTTTTAATAAAATAGAAGTTAAATATTTTATAGCAATCTGAAATATATATATATATATATAATTCTCTTTCAGATATATACATATATAAAATGAAATGAGATATTTTCATGTATAAAATACATGTATAAAATGAAATGAGATATTTTCAATTGAACTTAAGATGAACGTTACAAGAAACCGAGAGTGGTAAAGTTATCTTATCCGATTCTAAAAGATCGAGAAGATTAAGACCAATGATTTGCTCGCATTGAGGAGCAAAATAGCGTATTTCTATGAAATCCTTATCGTTGCGATTTCATAGAAATTACATAACGTTTCAGATTGCTCCTTTAGTTTCATCTCGACCCTAATATTCTGTACTTCGATCTAACCGAGCGCTGCCGGTAATCTCAGCAAAACACAACAAAAAAAAAATTGTACTCTACAACAAGAGCTTAATCTCCGCGGTTGTCTTTCTTCTCTCAGGCTGCAACCGCTTATAAATACGTTCCTGGATATTAATCCGTGAGGAGCCGTTTCGTTCTACCTTCTCCACAAAAGGGATTACCCTTAATACAAAACCGTCCTATTCCGTCCGATCCACGTTGCGATCCCACCGAACAAACCTTTTTCTCTTTTTTGCAGGGGAATAGAGAGAGATATCCCCGTAGAGAGGCTCACAGTCGCCCTTTTCGCATCGCATCGCATCGTATCGCATTCGCCACGAGTGATAGTTATGCGACGTGTGTTATGGCGGTCTGCCTACCCACGCGAATTGGGTCATCGGTGAGTATATTTGAGACAGAAAATACCGTGGAAAAAGATACGATAGAAGGGCGGGGAATATTGCCAAGCAATAAGGAGACCAACTGCGAACGTCGGTTTCAGAGCAACATTTTCATCCTGTTGTTTCGCAAATATTTTTGAGAAAAGTAACCAGTGTTTTTTTTTAACAGCACGAACAGAATTATAAAGAGATAAACATTCAATAATAATGTAAATAAGAAAATATTTAATATGAAGAAACAGACTTAATTTTTTATCTTTAAAAAATAAAAAGGAAAATGAAAAAAATTCACATAGTTAATATGTGGAAGTTACATAATATTCAATCAAGATTACATTATAGACGTCTACGCACGATAAAGTTTATATAATGTTTTCCGAGGCATAGGCATAAGACTTCAGAGAAATAAAAATTCAATTATAAATGATTTCACGGTGAAACTTGAATTATTTTTGTTTTGATGTGAGAAGAGTGTCCGAAAGCTTCTCAATTTCACGCGAAAGATTAATATTCATAAATTATATAATAATTCTCAATTACCGAAGGATGTTACGAGGAACATCTCGCCCGATGAAACGCGTTGCGGACGTCGTCGTGTCATCGCGAGACGCCCGCTTATTTATGATGAGATTGTGGAAACGCTAAGAATTCACTGTCGGACATGGACAGCCTTCCAATGAGGAAGTCATAGGCCAAGCTGACAATCTTCTCGACAATACTCGTATTACCATAAAGAAAGAAACTCAACGATGATGGCCGCGGCTGCGGCGGCTGCGGTGATAGCGTAGTTTTGCATTTACAATTATTATAACAGCAAGCCCATTACCGTGATGATCGTGCTCGTGGCTCTGCCGGGGCTCTTCTCTTTGTCATCGCTTCCTCCTTTCTTCGCACTTTCTTTTCAAAGAAAATCCTTGTAATAAACCTTGTAATAAACCATCCGCGCGCGGCTATACGTATGCTAGCAACGTATTTGGGTTCTGCTTTCAGCGACAATAAAATTGGTTCTTTTACAACAATAAAATTTGTATAAAATTAAATGGAAATGCAAATCTTCTTCTATTACAGAATAGCGCCTACTTTATATAAATCCTTAAATGTGTATGTAAGATAATTAATCTAAAATCTTTTCTATCACCAATAAGTTTGTATAGAATTCTATAAATGGAAATTTTATTACAACGTGTTTATGTAGATGTAGATTTCAGATGTATAATCGATCGAGAATTCCACAATGAAAAGTGCCTCGATTGCTAGAATCAAGACGATATAAATAATCTTATTCTTCGATAAACATCGAGCGCAAATTAGACCAATGAACTAATAAATAGCACCTATGAGATATATGTGCGAGAGAACTCGGATATGGATATCGGACATTGTCGCCGGCATTTACGCAAGGATAATGTTATTGGTGATCCCGCGTGCTGCATTACGTTCGGGCGGATGACGCGGATTAATTGGCAAACTTTCCGGGATAGCACTTTGGCCCACACCATCGTCACCATGCAAGTGCGAACGGTTTAGTTATGCGCATAACAGATGCACCGCATAGTTCCCGTGTGCAAATTAAGTGGTGACTGTTGAACAAGCGCCGCACGCCGTTGAGACTGATAAAATATTAAAGGCCCGATGCGCCGAGACGAGAGATATTTCGGGCGTGCCGAGTTAAATTTCTCTCGCGGCCGGAGTTGTTGCGTCAGGGTAGGTTTTTGCACGCGCGGAAAAAGAAGGCATTACGTATACATTAAGTACATCACATATTGTCTTATTATCAAGAATCAAGGATATCGCGTAAATTGTAATGCCTCGAAATCGTGGGAAAGTTTGCAACGATCATGGACGAAAAAAAAAACAAAAAAAAACGTTATAACCAAGCAAAATGATTAGTAAAAAAATTATCGCAATTATTATTGATTGTTATCGGTCGATATTTTTCCATTGAAGATATATGTACATGTATGCACCCATTCTCAAGCAATTGCTTTATTATATATGTGGTTTTCAACTATATTAATATTTATATATGTATATATATATATTAATGCCATAGCACGTAGGAAATTATATCCCTGAACGCCGAGCAAATTTACGAATAAAAATGATAATGCCAATAATTGTGGAAACGACAAAATTCAAAGTTTCTATTTTCCGTTTGTCAGCAGCATGTGACATTTTTCATGCATACATTCATAAGCTGTTGGATCTCTGACCTGGATAAACCGCATTGCATTGAATGACACTTTTGATCTCTAGGCGACGATATCTCTCTTAACGCGTAATGGATACGTCATAAAGTAGAAATTGTGAGTTACGAAACTGTAAAGCTGCGTGAAACGTATCCTATAAAAATACAACGCGTCAGCGATTGTATGTATAAAGCTGTCGACAACATTTGAATATGGCTGACATGGCCATTGTATAATACAAAAGGCAAATTGTTTACAAAAGTCATATCATTGTTATCCACGAAATCCTCGCAAAAATCAAGTATTATTTACGTATAAAGCTATATATTCGATCGATTTTTCACGACATTTCGAAAGAGTTTATCGATTTAAATTTTCATCAATTTTGTTCATTACGTCTCGTAATTCTTTTTATTCATTTAATATATAAACACAGGTCTTATTGCTCCCGTTTTTAATTAAAAAAGAGCTGTTTACTTATTAAAAGTACGTATCGTACTTATGATGTTAAATCAGACATCGTTTCACTTTTTTAATTAAAAAGGTCGTCTTTTTTTTTATTTTGTAAGAAAAAAAAGAATGTAGATCTGCATTATGAAATAACTTCATATTACTTACAACACTTGGAACGACTACAAGAACATCGAGAGCGAAAGATTTATTTTGATTGCCCTTCTTACCTCTTATTCCAACCACCAATAAGGGTAGGAACGTTTATAGTTTCACAACGCTTTTGATTCTCAGCGCAGACACCATTAAAAACTGCGTCTTTCGCAGTTTTCCGAGAGGTCCTCCTCGAAAGAACAGAGAAATCGATAAAGGGGTTGGAGCCACCCTACCCAGCGCTGCTGCCACCTCGGGACACTCTTAAGCGAGAGATTGTGGGACGCGGGCGGTTAAAGGTCAAGGTCGAGCTATTTCCTGCACGAGCGAACCCCCAAGTCTTTCGGATTACATACCGAAGAATCGAGAGGGAGAAGGAGACGGGGAGGAAGGCTGATTGGGAAAAATCGACCGGGATGGCAGATACAATGGCAGTTTATTACTTGGCACAATTCTGGACGATGGTCCTTCCATGCTGAGCGTTCTTCGACGATTGTTTCGTAATCCATCATGGACAGTAAGGGGAGGAAAGGATGAAAGGACAAAGGTATTACCTTGATGAGAATCACGAGATAGGATCGAATGGCATGTATGAGGGCGGAGGGATGTAGGTTTAATTATATGTCACGCGTCCCACACTTTCTTCTCCTTGTTAAAACGCGGCATCGTATTACGACACTCGCGTAGGAGGGTATTCCTGTCGTGAGATATTTAATTTTTCGCCTGTGTACGTTCCTTTTTAAATATTCATAAAGAAAAATTAAAGTCTTCGATATTAATTTTTTTCTGTATCACGAATCTCTCACGGAATATCCTCTGGAGTTTATAGTTTATATTAAATCTTAGAAGCAATCCAGACACAAAGCAAAAAGAAACGGTAGTTCCGGCAAATATAAGGGGAAGAAAGTAGGTCAATTGTAAAAAGCGGGATTGCTGAGGACTGGAATATCTTAAAACGCTAGAAAATACAAAATTGCACGAGCAGGCCAACGAACATCGTCCGGGTAGTCTCGTCGTTTTCTAAGAAATGCGAGGTTGGACGAAGGAAAAAGAAAAAGAGAAAGAGAATATGAAGAAAGGAGGTAAACGTGGAGCAAGCATTGCGATTACCGTAACCACATAATAACATAGTAACCGCAGAACGAAAAATGGCGGTCTGGCTAACCAAGACATTTTATCACGTTGACATTTTATCACGAATTTCGCATGAACCATAGTTTGATGAGTCTGTGTTGATTTGTTTCATTTGCGATGAAACTTAATTTCTTCGCTGTTTTTTTCTCTGCCATCCGTTTATGTATCTACTATACTATAGTTATGTACTATAAGTACTATACTATATACTACAGTTTGACGATTCATTTTGTTTTGTAATTTAGAATAAAACATTCTGTAACAAAAAGCTGATGCGTTTGTGCGTGTTACTCGTACTTAGTCTTTTACTGAGGGGTGCGTCGTCATTCACCTTGCTTCACGAAGTGCGGTATAAGCGAGACGAGGTTTAGTTATCCTTGTCCGCGGAGCCCCAGGAAGCCTTTAAACTGCCAAGATGGCTGACGATACGTAGGTGCACGCCCACGTGATCCTGCACAGCCACCACTCTGCTTTTTCATCCCCTGCCTACCACCCTCCTTCCCCCTGAGCGCATTCTCCCTTTCTGTCTGTCTCGCGTCTCCACAGCCATCATCTCTCTCTCTTCCTCGTCTCTTACTTCGCTTACATCCATCCACATCGACGCCTACAAAAACGCCTAGTTTTGCATAAGTGAGAAAATACTAACCGTCCAGCGACCGAGTATCCCGATTTCGGCTAATGCGAAAGCGATGTAGCCAGCTCATGCGTTTTTTTCAGGGGTCGCACTTCCAAGGGAGTAGTAAACCCTTCCTCTTCTCTTTCATCCCTCGGCCGATGCACGAACATTGGCTGCGTACGGTCAGTAACGCCGTCAGGGACCGACCCCTAATCTCAGGCTCGCGTCACAGGTTTACGTGTAAAATCGAATTAGCCCTAGAAAACATCAGGGATGGTCCGGGCCAACTTAGCCCTTCGCGTGTCTCATTCATTTTGACGAACGTTTTTGTGACGTGGCCGGCTCGCGTGCGGGATCTACCGAACATATATAAATTAACATCTGTGTCCTAGGGCATACCGCCGATGCGTATGACATTTCGTATTATATGCGCGCGTTTGCAATTGGAATTCCGAGATGTGTCACTTCCGCTCGACTGAATGCGAATACTCCGGGTCAAGGCTCCACGAAAGCGGAGATCGATAAATTCGTACGTCCGTGTAGAGGCAGCAATTAAAATTAACTCATAATTCAAGAAATTTCTCCCCTTTTCGCTTCATCAGATAATAAAAAAAAGTTGACATTTGATGACAATTATTTACGTCGAAAATAAATTTTTTACATTTCTGAAAATTTTTGTTTTCCTTCTCTTAACGCGAGATTTCAACGACAAGAAGCTACAATTTGTTTAATCTGATATGCAAATCTGCGACAGGTTGAATTCTCGTATCCGCCCAATTCAATTTCACAATATCGAAACGCGAGATTGAGACAGTGATAAATCGTTGTCAATCATAAATTACGACGTCAAGACGAACGATGGATGATGATGATGATGATGGCGGAACGAGAGCCACAGGGAGAAATGCCGGAGGTAGACGAGCGCGCAGTTACCAAATACGGGTCACAGCGCCTCGTCAATAACGGCGCACTACGTCGACGCGGCACATCGTCGGCGACGACAACGCTGTCGTCGTCGACGAGGCCGCGTTTTACGAACACTTTAAGGACGCTCGAACCCGGTAATAGCGGCTCATGACAATGGAACCGGTGACACAGTTTTGCGAACATCCACTAGGGATCCTTTTCTTACTCATCGTTTATCTACGTCGATTTGTTACATCGATCGTTCCGCGCCATTCCGGATAGCATAGGGAAACGATGAAAAGAGGAGCAAAAGTGAGAGAAAGAGATAGAAGAAGAAACGAAATTGACGATTTCGGTTCGACGTCTTTTCTCTTGTGGCCGCTTTCTCGCCCTGTTCGATCGTATCCATATATTTTATCTTGGCCTGACAACGATACGGGTGACGTTCCTGACACAGT